GGGAGGCGAGTGATGCGAGCCTAACGAAGAATAGAGAGACCGTAGACAAAAAGTGGAAAAAAGTGGACTTATCTATCTCGGTCCCCACCCCTAGCCCTGTCAAGTCTCTCGTTTCGCGCTGGTGTCCAGTTCTCTCACGATTCTATCCAAGCGTTTAACGATGGAATAACAATACGGGCTGTGAACAAACTACGAGCTGTAAACAATCTAGATTTATCCACATTTGTGCTGATTAAACAAAATACACAACGGTACAACAGGGTGGTATATATTACACGGCCTGTCAGTGATATCAAGCGAACTCTGATTGGTTAATCAAATGCTCAAAGCTATACAGGCTAATATAGCGAGCCTCGTCGTTTTATAAAAGGAATGGGTTATTGCAAAAACTTGAAAGGAGAATATGATCAGCTCTAAAGTTTATTAGTCTCGGCTTACCATGAGCCACCCCTGAAAAATTCCTGTTAAATCCTTGGGAATTGATTTTTTTCACGTTTCCTGACGCTGTCCCGTGAAACAGAAGTCGTTCATTGTTGCCTCCGTTGTCCTTGTCCATCTTTTGCTTCCTCAGCTGATAGGCCTGGTAAAGCAGTGGATTTTGAATCCTCTTTATACTCGTAATGGCTACAGCGCCTGCAGTCTTTTGAAATTCTTGCAGGACACTCTGGAACTCAGACGAGTGGGACGCCACTCTTACAGTATGCACGGTAACCTCATTTCCGTTCGGCTGTCTTGGCATTGGCGTCCAGTGACTGGGCAAAGAAATTCCTACGACTAAGCAAACGCTTAAATTAGAAACTGCAACGCCGCTGTCGATAAAAGGCTCCCTTCCGTCTCAGCTCTTAATAAAAACTCAACCCATTTCTAAGCCCCGCTGCTATTCTCATTCTCCGACGCGATATGGATCGTCACACACCCTCTAATTTATGACGCCAACCTTAAAAAAGAACGCCGATTAGACGGTTTCAATCTTTTCGGACCCACATGAAATTTTCCAACACCGCACCGAGCAACAAATAAACAAATAACGTAAGATCCTCCTCCCCTTTAAAAATAAGACCGTCAAAGAGACTTGAATAAAAACTCAGGGCTATAATCACTACTTATATTATTATCGCAATTTTGCGGTATTTGCTAATTTCTAACGTAGCTTCGTATATTGTACTGCCCTAACAATGTCTAAAACACCACCAGCTGCACAAAAAAATTGTTGTCTAGCAACATAATTTAAAATTGGTAAAAACGAACTAGCTGAAACAATTAAATTAACGAATAATTTAAAATTGCCCGCTACGGCAGTATACGATGCCAAAGACGGAAGGTAGTGTCCTTTTAAAAACCACATGAAATTGATCCAGAAAATAAACAGACAACGATCGAAATAGAGCGGTTTTCGGTCGAGTGTCGTAAAACCAATACCAAATTAAAGTAATCGCTCAAGCCAATCACAACGGTCATAGACAATACAGAGAGCCAATCTAAACTAAGTAATGACATGTAGCGGACGCAAAGCGCGCGAAAACGAGTGCGAACAAGTCATGATTGGTTTTGTTCTTACTTCTGATTGGACGAAAAATTAGTGCGAGTTTTTTTTTAAGCCAAACGCAAAGCGTAGTAATTATGTGCAAAACAAATTTCTTTTCGACGCTCAAATGAAAACCGCTCTAAAGAAGCGCCTGCTAACAACATGTCTTACCTTCAGACGGGCCCAGTGCCTTGCGGTTGATAATGATGCGTTCCCCTGACAGACTGCCTATCCCTGTGTTGTTTTTTAAATCCAGTCGAAACTTATCTCCTCGAACATCANGTGCTTTTAAAAACCACATGAAATTGATCCAGAAAATAAAAAAGAAACAAGAAAAACAGATAACGATCGAAATAGAGCGGTTTTCAGTCGAGTGTCGTAAAACCAATACCAAATTAAAGTAATCGCTCAAGCCAATCACAACGGCCATAGACAATACAGAGAGCCAATCTAAACTAAGTAATGACATGTAGCGGACGCAAAGCGCGGGAAAACGAGTGCGAGCAAGTCATGATTGGTTTTGTTCTTACTTCTGATTGGACGAAAAATTAGTGCGAGTATTTTTTTTAAGCCAAACGCAAAGCGTAGTAATTATGTGCAAAACCAATTTCTTTTCGACACTCAAATGAAAACCGCTCTAAAGAAGTGCCTGGTGACAACATGTCTTACCTTCAGACGGGCCCAGTGCCTTGCGGTTGATAGTGATGCGTTCCCCTGACAGACTGCCTATCCCTGTGTTTTTTTTTAAATCCAGTCGAAACTTATCTCCTCGAACATCAACTGTCACGCTCAGACATTGTTTGCTGTACGCCTCCTCGATCTTAGCGTTTTTTGTCGAACTAAAACGCCTGGTTTTGCCATACAGAACATAACACCATTCCACGTGACTGGACAGCAGTTTGGCGTGCTCGCGGGCTCTTGTTCGTTTTAATCTTTCGTTGAGCTCGCGCCAGATCTCCCCGATCACCACTGTTACATCCTTTGCCTCCCCACGAACTTCAATTCCATTCTTCGCAGGTTCGACTTTGAGCTCAACATCTCGCATTTTCGAATTCTGTATCAGAAGGCTGACTTGCTTATCTGACAGCTGACTTACGCATTCGTTTGAAATCACTTGACTAGTACAGGCCTCAGAGAACCCTGTCTTCAAAGAATCTAAAGCGCAGCTTACTGCTATTTCATTCGCGCCAGTGACGAAGATATGGAGAGTCGACTCGCTTCCTGATGACGTCACTGACGGCCGCTTTTTCTTCTTCTTTTTTCCCAAAACTTTCTTCACTGACTTCGGTTTTGCTGTAGACGCCATCGGCTCGCCTACTGGTGAATCTCGTTTTTGAAACTGCATGACGCGTTGATGCTCTTGGGTGAAGGCGCCGAGCATATCTTGCTGATAAATCACAACTCTGACTCGAGAGAAGCTTGAGCAGCTTCCTCTTACATTTCCTAAAGCTTGGAAGGTCAACTGTGCTGAATCAGCCGCAGTCATGTGGTAAGCGCCTGTTCCGATGGCTGGGATTGCTATGGATCTTAAACCTTTCGAGCTAGCGAGGAGGAGACACTTTTCAAGACAGCTCTGGAGATGTTGTTTGTTTGAGGAGTCTGGCACTAGGTGGATGATGTGAAGCGCGGGTAAATTCCCGCCCCTTGTCATAACAGCCGACCCTCCGGGTTGCTGTCCCACTCTCCTGCATTCTTGAATCACTTGCTCTCCGCCAGCCTTGGCCACTGCTTTGCTTAGTTCTCCAGCCCTATACAAGTTCATGTCCTTCCCAATAATGTTGACAATGGCGTCGGCTCTTTCCCTTATAAGGTTACCTTGAACAACCTCTACTTTTCGCCACCACGTCACTTCGCTGGGGTTTGGGATGGTTCCTCCCAAGCGTGCTTGCAAAGAGTTCATCTCCTGCTGAAATGCGGCAATCAGACTTTGATCTCGATCAAAGACAACAAAGCGAATATCCTTCACGCAAGAATGTGGATTACTGCTGCAAAAGTTGATCACTTCGTCTAACATGATTCTCGACGCCTCATTCTGAGGAAATTGTAAATTTCCAGTTCCAATTACAGGAAAAGCGATGGAGCTTCCTTTGAGTTCAACAACCTTGCACAGAGACTTCCGGACGATGTTCCTCAGTGTCTAGAATCAAGCAAAATAAAGACGTTAATAACAAGTACATTGTAATAAAAGTCTATCTGGAAAATAAGACGGTGACATCTGTCCGTCTGCAGTATAACTGGGCTATAACCAAGCTATACTTCTAAGCCTACGGTCGAGAAAACACTGAAACCTTCGGAGTGACAAAAACTTTATTTACATGCAACTAAAGCAATTGCAATTTTTTAAATACAATATTTATTTGAAAAACACTTAATTTTTAGCGAAACAATGAATTGACATTAATTGCGACAATTAACCACTGTAAAAGGTCTATTCAAACGGCAATATGCTCCATTAGAATCTCGCTTTTAAAATCCAGATTGGTAGCGAGGCCCGACGAACACAACAGACAAAGCTATGAGTAAAAATAGAACTGTAACCAGGATAAGACATATTGGAATAAAAACGTTCTCTGGTTAAAAATATATTAAAAACATAAGCTTTCGGCTATCAGTCTATAGCCTTTAACGAATGAAAAATGTGGCGCGCAAGCGAAAATATATACGAATGGGGTGCGAAAAATTGAGAATAAAAAAAAATTCCATGTAAAGACTGCCCTTGGAACTACATAGGAGAAACCGGAAGATGCTTCCAAACCCGAAAAAAGGAACATCAACGAAACTTGAAGAACTATTNAAGCTTATGTTTTTAATATATTTTTAACCAGAGAACGTTTTTATTCCAATAAAGCTGTAAGTGTCGTTTCATTTTGAAAACTTTAGGCCTCGCTAGCGAGCGACGTTTTAAAAATAATGTAAGTAGCCTGTAGCAAGAAAACTCGCCCACGTTTTCTATGAGTTATGGTCAGGTTGCACGTCGTTGACAACATGGGCTATAGTGGATTAACTGAGAAATGGAAACACAGTTTTTTAATGTATACGAACCCCTTCTCCAACCCCTCCTTTCCACTCTGAACAACGTGTATGGATCACGTGTTGACATGGCAATTTGAATCCAGTGGAAACTCGAATCTCCCCGGCTGGTGGCGCCACTGCTAGCATTCCTGGACCAGCGGAACGCTTTACTGCATTAGCGCATGCTCCTTGAGAACTTACCACTGTATGAACCTAAAAGTTAACAAGAATAGAATGATGTCAATTAGAGGATACATGATCTTACAAAACAACATTGGAGCCTATTGCCATGCACTGGTAATTGGATTTTAGCTACTTGCTAGTCATTTTGATGGAATCGTGTAAGATTTCAAATGCACTCAATCGACGTCCCGCTAAATCTAATGCCCGGCTAGGATTGGGTTCTACGTATGTGCACTAAAACTACCCGGATCTCTGAGCCTTACGTCATGCCCTCTGCATGGGATTTTTTGGGTCCAGTCTCAGGCGTTTGAGCAGGGAACTAGTTACTAGTCACTTGGGCTCAGAAGCCACCAGTAAATTGTGTTGAAAAAATCATTTACACTAACGTACCATCGTTTATGTAATCTTAATCACATCTACCTACACTTACCTGTTCCTGTGCAATGTTCCCAGTTTTCCATGAGATAGTGTGCCCTTGCGTTGTCACGGAAAATGAAGGCGCATGATTCGATGGGGGTGTCCTAGACTTGTCCTCGACACAGATAATCTCATCATCTTCGCTGTCCGTAGAGTCTGACTCAGCAAATGCTGCCGCTCTTGTTGGCCGCTCTTGTTTGATGTTCGGGAAGATTCTCTCCACTCGAACTACACATTTCTGATCTTTTTCAACTTTTTCCACAAGATAGCCTGCCTTGCCGCTCGAAAAGAATGTGCGAAGCCCCGGCTGTTTTAGTTTCATTTCCTTGGTCACTATCCTATGAACGAGTGTATTTACAGTTTGCCTAGCAAGTGCTAAGCCTCCCTGGTGGCCTGATATGACAAACTTCTTGGCATCTGCTCCATCGAGAATTTTAACATCAAATTTATTCAGTCTCTTTTCTATTGCTGTTAAATCGTCTTCCCGGCATTTCCTTATATACGTCCTTGCGTCTTTTGACGGGCAGGGAAGTTCTTCTGTCAGTTCCTCCGCGGCATTGTCTTTGAGGAAAGAGTTCAACCGTTTCACTGAACTAATGACATCTCTTGAGAAGCCACCGACCGACATCTTGCCTGTATCATCTCTCTGGATTGCCACCTTGCCATTTTGAACGATCTCGTCACAAATCTGATTCCATTCAGGCGTTGTTGTTAAAAGGAGATCTCTCTCTTCAATTTCTACCATCGTTTCTGCTGTCAAACTGCTGATAAGATTGGATGCCTTTTTTGCATGGTCGGGTGAAATGCCCAACAACTTGGCAGCTACGCAGTGTGGGTTGGCCTCGTCATTCTCCTGGAGTACAAGTACAGCTTCTATCTGGTTTGTCGCCATTTCGGTTTCTACAGCTTGCAATCCCTCAACTGTACTTAGCACCTTCAAGATACTTTCAGGCATATGCAATTCTTTTTCTGTCATTTTACCTTCCAGTACTTGGTATCGATTTTTGGCACATATCAACTCCTCCTGAGGTCCTTCAAGGTAGATTTCCCTGCTCTCGGCATCAAACTCCACCGTCAATTCTTTGAATTCGTCTTGAAGGGTTTGTACGAAGTTTATTTTTCTCAGCAACGTAACTTCTTCCTCTGGGATGCTCGTTATTTTTTCCACCCGATAGCTCTTTTTCTTCTCCAGACGGTACATTTCCACCAGTTTTTCCTGGAGTATTTCATCGTAGAATTCCATCTTGGATTTCAGTGACACAATCCTCAAGTAGAACGTTGAATCATGGGTGATGCTTCTAACGAGTGGAGGATCATCCCCTGGGCAACTGAGAACAGCAGACATGGAACCCGCTTGCAGATTGTTCCTTAGGTCATCTTCTATTCGGACATCCCACTTCATAAACTGGTCGAGAAACGACTGCACGATACCTATGCATAGAGACTGACAAGAATAATCATTTAGTCTTTCAGTGCACCTGATAAGAGCATGTCTGCTTCCCGGATTCCAATCTATCACACCTCCTTCATCCTTCAGCAATGTCGTCAACTGATCTAGATGGGATGATTCGTAGACAAACTCCATTATATCGGGATCTACAGCCAAATGAATTTGCCGCTGTATTTCTTTCTGCATTGACTGCTGGGTTACTTGCTTTCTGTCAAACTTGCCGTGAGTAGGGAAAGAACTCGGTAGATTTACTGGGTCGCTGTTGAAGTCTTCAAGAAACTCGTGGAAAACTGACACTGTCAATTGTCGGCCATCCAAAACGTGTGGGTGCTCTTCCTGCCTTTCTAAGACCCTTTTCATATCTAAAAAAGTAATTTAAGAAAATTAGATTTTGGATTAATAAGTGGAAGACGCTGTGTCCAATAGGTAACACGACGGACTCTGGAACAAGAGGAGATAGCTTCTCAGCCAGAGGTATAAAAAGGGGTAGCCAACAGTTTTAAGGGACGTTACTTAGTTATAGTTCCCTTCGCATCCTGAAGCTCATATAAAGGCTGCAAAAATTTTAAGGGAATCTTGATAAAAATTCTGGGCGGGGGCAAAATCTCCGATGGCTAGGAGCTCTTCCAAGGGGAGTAGGGACACTCTAAATGGCTTTATGCAATAGAACCGGGATAAGCCTGGCCCTGAAAAATTAAAGTCATCTGTGCGGTTGCGAGGACAGTTAGCTTTGACAAAGTGATAAGGAGTATCCCTTAATTACTGTGCTGAATCAAAATATATATATATATATATATATATATATATATATAGTTATTCAGTATGATGCTTGTATGTCGTTTGCAGGTTTAAAATTAGCAATCAAAGAAGTTATAAAGTTGTGGCTACGAATTAATGTGTATATAGCTTGATAGTCTGTCACTGGTCACTGTACAAGAGCAGACGGCACGTTTCATATAATAAACGTTCGCAGGCATAGCCAAGTTTACTTCAGAGTTTCGTCATCAAATCGTAAACTTTTCACGCTTTACCTTTGGTGTCGTTAAAAACAACAACAGCTTGCCCACTCTTGCTTGTAAAATGAACTTTTTCCACTGCCCCGCCTTGACTGCGAGGACTCTCGAAGTACAACCTCACAAGGTCCTCAGAGGCGCTGGGGGAGAAGCCGCTGACCAGTATACTTGTAGGGGCAGGTTTAGTTTCAATCGTAACTGTGCTTTTGTCCAACGTTCTCTTCTTACATTTCTCTTTCATCTTTGCAATAGCTGTATGACAAGCAGAATATTATGACCATAAATGTCTATTTTTCTCATACGAACTGGTAAAATATAGCTGATCACGTGTGGCTAAAGGAGTGACGCGCCGCCGGGGGCTTATGTGCTGGGTCATTTAAAATTTTCAACGGATAGTTCATTTAAAATAAGTTATGACGCTGTTTGATGTTTATTGCGTTCACGAAGTGTAACGCAATCCTAATTCAGTCTGTTTTAGGACGGATTTGTTCGCCGATTTGGCCCCTACAGCAATGGCAAATTACGTCATGCGTGATGCACGCAGTCACGGATTCGAGGCAAGTGTTCGAAGCCCTCGTCTTCAAGAGTGAATATTTTGTCGGTTGGTCCAAAACATTTTTCTCAAGAAATATTTATCACAAGTGTTGGCGATCTGAAATTGAATTTTGAGTTTCGCAAATACTTAAATAGAATGTCTCACCTGGAAAACATTTGTCCAGTACAAGTTAAAACTTTATTAAAAACATTTTTACGGTTTATTCATCGCTAGTTCAACTTCACATGCATATCGTTATCTGTCATTCGAACCAACTTTGTCGACCACATTTGCAAAATACACGCGTGAACGAACTACTCTAATCTTTGATTACCACTAGTTTAATTTTAATTGCACAATGTTATACACGGATAACTCTCAAAGCACTGACACAGTTACCTCAAATTAGTTGGGTCCGTCTTGCATTGTCTTCACCTACCATTTTGTAAATTGGGAGGGGAAGTGGTAGAGAAGGCCCTACAAGATCTGTTAGAGGGCTCTTAGTTATATTTCAACCCAATAAAATGATATCAATAATAATAAGATTGTATTCACAAACCTTGTACTTGTGTTGATATGGTAACTAAAGCGTTCCCTTGCTTCATCATGGTGATGTCTTTGACCTCTCCGCCACTTACCACCTCAATAAAGTTGAGCAATCCGTCTTTGGTAGTTCTCTCGCTCAGTCCACTGACCATGAGAACATGTTCATCCAACGTAGCCTTTGCACACGACTGTGTCTCAAGATCATTCTCAGTCTTTCTGCGACTCAACTGGCATTTTGGAAGACTTCTGCTGTTTCTGTTTCTGTCCTCGTTAAATGCTCCTTTTGACGTTTTAAAATCGCCTTGACCGTTTCCTTCATCTGTTAGTGGCAAGAGTGGTCCTGGTAATGCAACTGGTGACTGAGGGTTGTGTGCAGAAAAATGACAGAGGTTAATGCTTTCTTTTTGGGATTTCTTGGTGTTGTCCACAAGAACTCCAGGGTAATCTAAGTAGTTGTCATCCTCATACCCTTCGACCCAGTAGTCTTCTTCTTCTTCTTCTTCTTCTTCTCCTTCTTCATTCCAACAGTTTATTACTTTTCCATAACCTTCCCAGTAATTAAAGTAGTCGTCGTAAGCATCACCACCATTTGCATCCACTCTTTCTTCAAAAGAATGAATCACACCATCGCCACTTGCATATTCCTCTACAAAGCTGTCAGAAGCCACTTCACTATAATCGGTGTCATAGAAACTGGTCTCACTTAGATAAAACGCTTCTTCACTAGTGACTTCAGCAAGGCAGGCAGCCATAACGTGTCTACTAGGATGTGTACCATCGACAAGTCCACTTCCATTATCAATTCCGTCAAAAGCATCTTGACTATCAGTATACCAAATGCCACCACTGTTATTGCCACAAGCACCACCAGTATCATCACCATCTTCACTAGTAGTACTATTACTGTCATCTTCAATACGGTAACAAACATCTTTACCATCAGCATGTCTAACGTTACTGCTGACTTCTCCACCACTGTCACAATCATCTTCATAAACAAATTCGATCCCACCACTCATGTCACCACGGTGTCCAAACGCGCCTTTATCATCTGGAGCTCCAATGCTACTACCCCCATGACCACCACGGTCACAAGCATTGCTATCATCAGCAGACCCATCTCTACTACTGGCATGGCCAACACGGTCATCAACATCTTTACCATCGGCATAACCAATGGTACCACTGGTTTGGCCAACATGGGCGCAAACAGCCTTGCTATCACCAAGTCCAACGCTTCCAATGGCATGGAAAACACAGTCAAAAGGAGATTTACCATTAGCAGATCTAATGCTACCTTTATCGTGGTCATCTCGATAACAAGCCTTTTTACCATCACTAGGTCCAATGCTAATGTTGTCATGGCCAACTCGGTCACAAGTCTTTTTACCATCAGTAGGTCCAAAGCCACTTTTGTCATGGTTAGCTCGATCACAAGTCTTTTTACCATCAGCAGGTCCAAAGCCAATTTTGTCATGGCCAACTCGGTCACAAGCCGTTTTACCTTCAGTAGGTCTAATGCCAATGTTGCCATGGCCAACTCGGTCACAAGCCTTTTTACCATCAGAAGGTCCAATGCCACTTTTTTCATGGCCAACTCGGTCACAAGTCTTTTTACCATCAGTAGGTCCAATGCCAGTTTTGTCATGGTCTACTCGATGAAAAGTCTTTTTACCATCAGAGGGTCCAAAGCCACTTTTGTCATGGTCAACGCGATCACAAGTCATTTTACTGTCAGCAGGTCCAATACTAATTTTGTCATAGTCAACTCGGTCACAAGTCGTTTCACCATCAGTAGGTCCAATGCCAATTTTGTCACGGTCAACTCGGTCACAAGTCTTTTTACCATGAGTAGGTCTAAACCAACTTTTGTCATGGTCAACTCGATCACAAGTCATTTTACCATCAGTTGGTCCAAAGCCACTTTTGTCATGGTCAACTCGGTCACAAGTCTTTTGACCATCAGTTGGTCCAAAGCCACTTTTGTCATGGTCAACTCGATGAAAAGTCTTTTTACCATCATTAGATCCAATGCAAATTTTGGCATGGTCAAGTCGGTCACAACTCATTTTACCATCCGCAGGTCCAATGCCAATGTTTTCATGGTTAACTTGGTCAAAAGCCTTTCTACCATCAGTAGGTCCAGTTCCACTTTTGTCATGGCTAACTCGGTTAGAAATATTTCTAGAATCAGAAGGTCCAATGCCACTTTTGTCATGGCCACCTCCGTCACAAGCGTTTTTACCATCAACAGTTTCAAGGCTACCACCGACTTTGCCACCATGGTCACTATGAACAAGTCCAGTTCCACCACTAACATCGCCTCCTTGGTCAGAAGTACTTTTCTCTTCAGCAAGTACAATGTTGCTACTGCCATGGCTAAAACGGTCACATGCAACTGAGCCAATTACAGGTCCAATTGCACCATCGATTTGATCAACGGCGTATTTAGGTTCTGCTGAGTTAGTAGAGAAAGAAATGATTACTTCGCTTTCTGTAATGATATCTCCCTTTTCACCATCCATAAAAATCTCAGTTATTGCATTGGAGTCGCCTACATTGTCCACTTCCAGGCTTTTAGTCACAGAACAACTGGCACTATTTTTGACTTCATGAACTTGAGCACCGTCCTGTAACACGTTCTTTTCCAATTTCTCGCCGATGTCTACTTCCATATCATCTTGATTCTTACTTGACTGGTAAGATTTCAAATTCTTCTTTTTTTGATCCAAAGGCGTGTTTCTATTCTGCCTCTGGATGGCTTTACCTGCAAAGAAAGGAACAACGAGTTACTCAACTTTTGCTGTCCTTCTTTTAATTGAAACTTTGTTTGTCCCTTCTTGGATTCATGTTATTCTAATTTGGGTAATATACACTTTAACTTAGGTAAATAAACCACATTACTAAACGCACGTTCAATGTGCATTCAAATTAAAAATAATTTTGAATCTTCTTTAGCCAAAAATGATTAAATTTCCTTAAATAACTTCACTGATAAGTGTCTATTATATTTAGAACCGCTTCGTTACTAGGGGACACTTCATAAACAGAGGCAAGCTTTCCCTGGCAAGCGCATCCTTGCCTTTCATCCCTTAAATTTTTAATGCAAGATTAGAAATGAACTTACCTTCCTCATTAGGCAATGAATGGTAACTATTTCCTTTACTGCATGAAAACGGAAAACAACAACACATTAGCATATAAACGTACGATAGCCGGCAAGACGAATCGTTCATTCATCAAACCAATCAAAATTAATCGATTGATTCAAAAGAACGTTTCCGAAACTGGGAAGTATTAATATTTATTCATTGGATTATCGAAGTTATCAAAGTATCTAACCGAACTCAAAGTACAAACTCTCTCGCTGAGTGATCATGAATTCGTTTTCGATTTCGTCCGAGTTGAGGGCACTTATAGGGAGAAGTACTTTGTCAGGGGTAAACAGTAGCACGTTGCTGTCTAGCCTTGTAGAGTCAATATATATGTACCCAAGTTACATGATTTTATTTTGAAACTGAGGCCAGCATCACAATGCTATACTCACTTAAGAAAAATCATTGATGGCAATGAGTTTCTCCATTCGTATCAGGTCATAATCCATTTCCGGCTTCCATGACTCACGAAGAACCCAGCTGTATTGGCATGTTCCTGATGACGTTTGCGGTGTTATGGATTGTTTTGTTCGGTCTTGTGAAGTTTTGCTCCCTATAATCTACAGCGTTAAGGTTATAAGCTTGCATGGTTATATTTCTTTCCAAATTAATCAGACCCCGAATATTCATTGAGGGAGGACAATTTCAATGTGCATGAATCAGCCAGGCGCGTGAAAGGTTTAGGTGCTGCGTGCGGTTCCGCGGCTAAAACATTCAAACCAAAATTTTTACAATATAAAGCAGAACTCTTTTCAGCCCTGTTGGCTAGGTCTGTGAAAGGTGAAATGAGAGTTAGAATCTTACGGCCATAGAAGCGGCCGACAAGACATTGTAAACTTCGCCATAGTGTTGTGAATTTGCATCACTTACCTCTGCATCATTAACTATCTACGGTACTTTAATGAACTACAACATTGCTGAGTTTACAAACGATTACTATTGTTTTAGTCGATATCCTGTATCGTACATATATACATCCATCTCATGCGAGATTGATGTTAAGTATATAAAATGCATAACAAAATTTAGATTTTGCCGTTTGTCCGAATCGTCGTATTGAAACCTCTAAATCAAATCCCCTATAACTGAAACAGCTTCGTAGATTAACTGAGCAGAGAATAAACCAGTCATATAATCGATCTTACCTGCTGTTAGCTCCCATGAAACTGAACAGAAGTAGCTAAGGTCTATAGATCCGTTGTTTAGTCGTTTCTTGCTTCACTTCCGCCGCAGAGTCTGTATGATGACGGTCCAGATCTCTCCGTCATTTTCACTTTCGTAACCCACTCCGGGAAAGTCCCATGCATCTTTATTATTTGAGTCCCTACTAGGAGAAGGAGAGTCCCAACTATCGAGAATTGAATCGAATCGAAAACAAATGGAAAAAGAACGTCGTTTGTTGAGCTTTCATTTCATATGTTGTCATCGTTTTATTTATTTATTTATTTTTTTTTGCTCATGTCGCTCTTTGTCCTCCTTCTGAATCATGTCCCCAGAAAGACATCCGGATTTCCAAGAATTCCAGTCAAGTGGCATACTGCGCTCTTTCGCTCATTCGCTACATGTGCATATTTTCAGTGAATATTTTCAGTGAATATTTTTAGTCATCATCAACGAACTCAAAAGCCAGCTGAAAAGCCAGCACATCTAGTGAACTCAGAGTTAAATAATTGAATACTGATTATGCTAATTTTCCTACATGCTATTAACTCCCATCAGGCGCGTGAAACAAATCAGCTTTTGTTGAGTTATTTCCGTTGAACTGTGCGGGGGAAGTCCCTCTTTTATTGCATTTCTGAGAAAAAAAACTCAAGCTTCCTCAGAATTTCTAGTTACGGCCAGAGAGTCAAGGAAACTCGGGTTGTTTACCATTTACCCCAAAATTCCGGAAATTTCGATCAGAATGTAAATAATGAAACAATTTCGCCTCGAAAGACCGGGAAATTTCCGAAATAAACGGGACGTCTTAAAAGATAGTCCAAAATTTCCATCGAAATATCCAGATGGAAAATGTGCTTGCCATTTGCGAATCTTTACCAATTCCACCCGCCATCTTGGAATTATGACCAGATCGAACCTGGGTTCTCTCGGTAAATTGCGGGTTGTGCGGACAGAGCTTACTACCAGGGAGTTTTGCTTACCATTTGCACAAACCGTTGACGAACCTCCTCGTGATGCAGAATTTTTAATGGCGAAAAGCCGAACAACAAGCGTAATACTGAAAGTGAAAAGGTCAGAAGTACTTAACCTAACTCAAAACCTTACTCAGAACGTCTTAATTTGTTTTTTTTTTCCTTCTAACATAAAGGTTAAAGTTTTCCTAAAAGCTGCCATGAAAACAAAAAGGTAAACAAAGGAGAGATTGCAACATTTGTCATCCGAATTCTGTTAAGTATCTTTAGGGCATAAGAAAACCTGTATTAGCTTACATGTACGTCACCTGGCTGCGTGGGTCATTTTCTGAGAAAATGTTTGTAAAACACCTCCCCAAAACCACAGAACACCACGGTCGTGATTTCATATATTTCAATTAAACGAAGAACCCTGTCGAGCTAAAACTATGTAAAACACCAAGTTCTTAGAGGAAATTATGGCTGATGAAACTTTAACTCCACAAGGATAAACAAGACAAATAAATCTTTGTTCATTAATTAATTCACCATGAGTCGCCAAGCGACAGCTCAAGTGCAAACCAAGCATTTGTGACTAAAAAGCTGCACCAAAATTGTCATGTAGAACAGGTTCTCTCAGAACAACATGAAATAAACACTCCAGGTAACAAAGCTAGACAATCATACGTGGTTTCTGTTGTTATATCAACATCGATATCACTGTTATATATCAGTGTCCATGGCTAGAGTTCGCTATTCCTCCTACTTAGGCAAATACTCATTACAAAACAAATGAATGCATCGACTCCAAATGTAATTGATGAAAGGCTTGAAAAGAAGTACGTAAGTAATCAAGTTTATATGACCGACCTAGGAATCCCCTGAAAGTAACGTGAAATAATTTCTCAGGCCTTGGGGAACGAGATGAAGTTTTTCGCCTTGTTACATTCTTTGGAGTTCGGAAACAAGTATATCTCAGATATTTTTCTTATTTTTACTTTTAGCATCCTTTCCAAAAACTCAACGTCTACACGGTTGGCTGGCAGCTTTCCAGGGACGTTCTCCCTCCAGAAGGCCGTACTCCTAACACCCCCGTACCACTTCTTTCCTCCGTCTTTTGTAAACTCAAAGGTACAGCAGGCAGCTGTCCACATCTCTGCAGGAACGTTCACCCGGTAATTGGTGTCATCCTGATAGACACTGAATCCATTTTTGCCAAAGTATCTCGTTTTCGAAGGACCCAATTTCGTAGAGGGAATCGCACCAACAACGATAAACATTTGAACGTTTTGATTGCCCTTCTTTGCACAATTGTTTCTACCCCAGTTCACGAGTCTCCCTTCAGCGTTTTGCCACGAGACAGAGTTGAAATCCCCAAACTGAGGGACCGCATTGGTGTAAACAAAAGTTGCTTTTTTTATGCTTTGGTCTCCCACGCCGTACTGCGAGGCAACCAAGTGACCTCTATGCATTTTTGTTTTTAAGTCGTTCGATCCCGCACCAATACAAACCTTATACGGCGGGCGGATCAAGTTCTTCGCTCTGTACCAATCTTCGTCAACCATTTCCTTGTCACTTCTCGTTTTGTAACAAATCTTTCGTTTTAAAGCATCATCGTAGTCTTCGTTCGATTGCTGAAAATATTTGTCTAGCCCACTCTTGCTAAGGATGAATTTTTGGCCACTTGGTCGGTGGCCAGGCGCTCCAGAAAGCTTGCTTCCACGAATCACAGTGGCCGCAAATAACGGTATTCGATTATTACAGTCGTACAGTATACCTACTGCGTGGTCTTCGCATAGATATGCCAAGTTCCGTTCAGCCAAAGGATTGTTAATATTTCCGAACAGTGTCAGACCAAATGGCACGTGTTTCGTTATATCCAAGCCATGTTTCTGTTTTCCGTGAGCGTCACAAGCTCCCAGAAACAAGCACTCACATCCGGATATTCCCGATGAATTGCACCTGTAATACCCCGTAACCTGCAACAAAAGGTGCTTGGACAGAGCTAAGGCAAAAAACAGGCCTGTGAATCTGGTCATGACTACGCGGAATGTAAAGGCTAGGTAGACAGATTCCTGATGTAAACCTGCCTAAACATGCTCCGGGGATTGCGTACTATACCCACAAAACTAACCAAAGCCAAAACTAACAAATATTGAGCCAAAACTAACACGCCGCCACACCTTTACTTCCTAGTGTTCAGCCGTAAAGTGACGCGGAAATTTTAATGGTGAAGAGCTGAACAACAAGCGCAGTACTAAAAATGAAAGGGTCAGAAGTACTAAACCTAACTCAAAACCTAACTCAGTACGTCTTCGATTTTTTTCCTATAAACACGACGATTTAGGAATTCTTCAAAGCTGCCAAGAAAAACGTGATAAAACAAAGGAGGGATTTCCGTCTCCGCTCATCACTTCCAAAGTGTGTAGTTCATTTTCTGAGAAAGACGTGTAAAAAAAACATTACCCCAAATGACCACAGGCACAGAATTCCAACTATGAGAGGCGGCGCGTATTGTCACATTGTCACGCTATGCTGTCAGTTCATTCCGTGTCAATCACGCGATCGGGTTTTTGCGAGATAGTTCCTGTGCATGTCGCTCTTTCAAAATTCCCCAGAAAGACATCCGGTTTCCCAAGAATTCCAGGCAAGTGGGATATTGGGCTGTTTCGGTCACTAGCTCCATGTGAATATTTTTAGTCATCATCAACAGACTCAAAAGCCAGCTGAAAAGCCAGCGCACCAGTGGACTCGGAGTTAAGGAATAGAATACTAATGATGTTAAATTTCCCCGGGAGGGGGGGCCCTGTCATATATGGGCTATATAGGTATGTGCCGCTGTAAAGGGTATGGTTTTCAAGCCGTTTACTCTAGGATAGGGTATATAAATCAGAGCGTTTGGGTCTAGAATAGGTTATAATTTTTCACAAAACTGATTAGTTGGTTGAAGATTTTATCTAGACTAAGGAAACCAGGAATTGCCACTCAAATATATATAAAAAAAATGAAATCGGTAAGTTTTAATTTTGCAACTCAGTCTCAACAGCGTCGATAGATGACTGTCATAAAACACTACTGGATATTATTAACTGTCAAAAATCGGGATTCAGACGGAAATCGGTGGTTTTACAATCTCGTTCCCAGAGCCTTCGTTGCCCTTATCGGTTTCCCGTTCCGCTGGACAAGGGTAACGAAGGCTCTGGGAACGAATTTGGTGGTTTTGATACTGGTTACTCCACAGGCAGCCCAAGCTCTCTCTATGAACCACACAACCAACACAACATGGCATCGAATTATAAGGGTTTATATGGGATTTTCTACAAGATATCCATGGAGATAGTTGAAAGTGAAAATTCTCAATAAAAATGGCTTACCTTGTTCCATGCATGTGTTGTTTGCTCCTGGTATGGTTATTTAACAAATTTAACTTGATTTAATCGACTTTTTTGAATTCCGGTTTTCCCTTCATAAAGAGAGGACAAGCTTGTCCTCTCTTTATGATATTGTGTGTTTCATAGAGAGAGCTTGGGCTGCCTGTGGTTACTCTAGTATAGGGTAGCAAAATTCAGCTAAACTAGCTCTGCTATAGGCTATGGGTTCCAGGGTCCCAGCGGCACATCCCCA